TGGGAGGCACTGGGATGAACTGGGAAGAACTGGGATGAACTGGGAAGAACTGGGAGGCACTGGGATGAACTGGGAATTTCTTCGCCGAGTTCCCATGGCAACGGAGAGATTTTTTTTTTTTGTGTTTTGTTTTGTTATTATTTTTAATTTCCCAAGCTCTCATTGGTCCAAGTCCCGGCCAGTGAGAGATGTGATTGGACAAGGCCCCTGTCAATCACGGTAACACCCGCAGGTGTCCCCTGATGCCACCGCCAAGGCTCCTGCGTCCGGGGGAAACATCCTCATCCTCATCCTCATCTTCATCTTCATCTTCCTCCTCCTGGGCGCTGTCCCTGTCCAGAGGTGACACCGTCCTCCTCCTCATTGTCGCCATGTCGGGAGGTGACATCTTCATCCTTCTTCTCCTCCTCCTCCTCACCACCACATCTCTGGCTGCCGCCTTCCTCCTTCTTCTTCTCATCCTCCTCTTCCTCCTTCTTCTTCTTCTCCTCCTTTTTCTTCTCTTTCTTCTTCTTCTCCTCCTCCTCATCGCCACGTCTCCAGCTGCTGCCTTCCTCCTTCTTCTCCTCCTCCTCCTCGCAGTCCCCACCTCTCCACCTGCCGCCTTCTTCCTCCTCCTCCTCCTCTTTCTTCTTCTTCTTCTCCTCCTCCTCCTCGCTGCCCCCACATCTCCAGCTGCCGCCTTCCTCCTTCTTCTTCTCCTCCTCTTCCTCCTCCTCCTTTTTCTTCTCTTTCTTCTTCTTCTCCTCCTCCTCCTCGCAGTCCCCACCTCTCCACCTGCCGCCTTCTTCCTCCTCCTCCTCCTCCTTCTTCTTCTTCTCTTCCTCCTCCTCGCTGCCACCACATCTCCGGCGGCCACCTTCCTCCATCTTCTTCTTATCCTCCTCCTCCTCTTCACAGACCCCAGCTCTCCACCTGCCGCCTTCCTCCTCCTTCTTCTTCTCCTCCTCCTCCTCGTTGTCCTCACATCTCCGCCTGCCACCTTCCTCCTTCTTCTCCTTCTCTTCCTCCTCCTCCTTGCAGTCCCCACCTCTCCACCTGCCGCCTTCCTCCTCCTCCTCTTCCTCCTCCTTCTTCTTCTTCTCCTCCTCCTTCTTCTCCTCCTTCTTCTTCTTCTTCTCCTCCTCCTCCTCGCAGTCCCCACCTCTCCACCTGCCGCCTTCCTCCTCCTCCTCCTCCTCCTCGTCCGGCGTCCCCCACTCCCTGACCACCCTGAAGGGCTCTCCGTGCCCGGGCACGATCACCTCGGCGGCGGCCGCCAGCTCGTCCCGGCTGCGCCTCTGCGCCGCGGGCTCCTCGCTCAGCGCCTGCCACTGCCCCTCGTCCTCGCCGCTCTCGAACGCGTCCCCCGCCACGGCCACCGCGCCCAGCGCCGTGCCCAGCGCCAGCAGGCTGACGTGCGCCCGCGTGTGCCCGGGCGTGGGCACGACGCGCAGGTGCCCGGGGTGCAGCTCCAGCGGCACGCCCTGAGCCAGCCCGTGCGGCAGGTAGAGCCCCTCGCCGCGGCTCAGGTCGAAGCCCACCAGCAGCGTGGCCCGCGGGAACAGGTTCAGGTTGCCCGCGTGGTCCGAGTGCCCGTGCGTCACCACCACGTGCGTCACGTCCTCGGCGGCGACGCCGTGGGCGGCCAGCAGGCCGGGCAGGCGCGGCCGCAGCCAGGGCCCCCCCGTGTCCACCAGCACGGTCAGGGGGCCCCCCCAGAGCAGCGTGACCGAGCCGTCGGCGCGGCACGTGCCGTCGGCGTTGGGCCGGCTGTAGCCCGCGCGGAGGACGCGCAGCGAGTACAGCGGGCCCGCCACGGCCAGCG